AGATAATACCATGATAACAACTGATATGAAATAAATTGATAATGTATATTAAAATATTTTTATGATAACAGTGTTATTGTTCTTATTAAATATTAAATTTTAATTTATAATGAATAAGTATTGTAATGTTTGCATTAAAAAATTTAATAACCGATCGACATTTCTGTGCCATCTGGCAAGCAATCATCGCGGACCATTTCCTCTTGTAAATGTCATCAAAAATGTTGACGTACACGCCTATAAAAGTAATTTGAAAACACTGCAGGTACTAACCTATAAATTATACCTATATATTTTCTATTACGTTCCAGAGCCTATCGGTACCATACCAATCATTGTAAACGGCTGCAATTCAGAATCTACTCTGACCGATGAATGTTCAAACACACACCAACGCTACCAGTGCAGTACATGCAAAAAGAAGTTCTCGTTCGACTCATTGTATCAGCGGCACATGTCCACTCATATGCCAGGAAAGTATTTATGCAATTATTGTTCAAAAGTATTTAAAAGAAATGACAACTTGGTAAGACACACAAAATATATTCATTTAGGCAATCTAACAGTGAACAAATGCAATACATGTTCAAAGAGGTTCAAATACAAAAGTTCATTGAAGGAGCATATAATAAACAGTCACTTTGTGAAGAAACAAAAACACATATGCAAGATCTGCAAACAAAGTCTATCTTCGAAAAAAACTTTACGATACCACTTGAACGCACATCATAATAAACAAGAATTTAGGTGTGGTGTGTGTGGGTTGACGTTTACTGCACCTTACAAGAAGAGTCGCCACTGCAAAACACATGTTATAATGGTAATAACTTAAACAAAATACAATACAATAAATGATTTAAAAGATTTTTTTTTTCAGAACCATTAATGCATATTCCACTACTTTTTCACTGGCACCCATTCTCGAATCATAATAACTCAAATGGAACAGCAGGTACTGCCTCCGCCACCGTCAGGATCATTGTTGCAGATGGAAGTGGTTGAGTCTTCATATATTGAGTACAACATATAAGTGTTATGTTCCACACTACCCAAGGGGTCTTACACATAAGCGCGTTTTTTTTATAAAGGTGGTTTCGCCTAGAGCCCTAGTCCACCGTTTTTGTAATCTTCATACTGGATGCTAAAAATTATAAATTATAACATTAAAATTATGTTTGACTTATTAAGTATAATAAATTACCATTTTTTTAATATGTCTACTTTTTTCGCAGGGTCGACAGAATTTTTCGTTACAAATAGTACATTTAAACGGCTTTATGGATGTATGCACGTTTAAATGGTACCTTAATGACTTTTTCGATGTAAATGATTTTTGGCATAGATTGCAGTTGAATGATGGTGGCTGTTTTGAATGTTTGTGTGACATGTGATAGTTTAGTGATGAAGATTGTTTGAATTTCTTTTGGCATATTTTACAACTGTATTCAGGTCTATCTGCGAGATGTATTACCATATGACGATCTAATGTGTCTTCTCGTCTGAATTTTAATTGGTATTCATGGCATTGCCATAAAGGCTGAACGTGTTTGGCCATATGTCTAAGCAGATGTGACCTGTACCTAAATGATACAGGGCACAACATGCATTTCAACATTTTTTTGATGCGTTTCTTTTTCACTAAAGACATAAAAAAATAAAAAATAATTTTTTAGGTCCTTACATTTACACACCCACAGAGTATTACTACATTTTAATAAATAGTATATTAAGTAAATCACATAAATAGTGAATGTGTCTTTCTAGTTTCTAATTTATAAATTATAAATCAATTTGATTTAACTTTTATCGTAATGTACACTGTATACTTTTTTATTATTTATTAAATTAAACTATTTTTAACTTATTAACTTATTTATTTTTTAAATCAACTGAGAAAAGCTAAATTATTTCAACTGTAAATTAAACTAGTTAAGTTCATAAGTTAATTAGAAAACAAACTAACTAAAGTTAATGTCCACCTTTGTTAATTATACTACCGAACTTAGTACTTACGATCTACGACAACTGGTTCAGCTGGGACAACCACCCTACTAGGTCCTGCCACATACAGATCTTTTTCATCACTATCATCATCATCATCATCATCATCAGCAGCAGCACTCGATGCTAAAGGTGGAGCTTTACGTCTGACCAAAGGTATCAAATCATTTTCATCACTAGATGAACTAATACTCAGCTCTAAAATATAGTAACAAAATAGTATTTATTATTTAGTTATAAAGACTAACACTTATATAGTATATTACCATTTAATTTTTTTGGGTTTTCTTCATCATCATCAGCTGGGAACACCACCCTACTAGTTCCTGCCACATCTTCTTTTTCATCATGACTACTACTATCATCATCATCCCTATGATGAGAACTATGATCATAAACTAGAAATAAATAACACTTAATTTGCTTACAAAGACAATTTATATAGTATATTACCATTTAATTTCTATACCATAAATATCATTAATCCCCTGGTTAAGTCGATGATATTCAATTATGAATTAAGGAAAGGTGATTATATAATCAACCAATTGTATACATTAACCAGGGAGCAAATTGAAGAATATGCGCATATATATAAAACAAGAAGAATTGCATGACATATAAATTTATTGAACCTACATAATTTATTAAGCTATATATTTATACCTTATATTATTTTTTTAATTAATTTTTTTTTAGTTGCTTCATCGTGGCCATCGAGTAGAAGGCCAATGGATTTTTGGAGGAATTGAGCGGGAATCTGGGCTTTGTTTTCTTGTTCCTGTTGAACGTCGTGACAAGGTCACTCTCTTATCATTAATTAAAGACTGGATTTTGTCGGGCACGACTATAATTAGTGATTGTTGGAAGGTACAATTAAGTTAAACCTATACAAACAAATTTACATTGGAAACTAAAACAAAAAAACTTTTCCATTTCTTTATTGCTAACATTTTAGGCTTATGATTGTTTAGAAGAGGAAGGTTTCCTACACCTGACAGTGAGTCACTCGATTCAATTTCTCAATCCAGATACCGGCGCACACACCAATAATGTCGAAGGCATGTGGCGCCACGCGAAAGCATCACTATCACAGTATTGCCGCAAAAAAAAAATATTACGGTGGTTACATGGCAAAATATATGTTCGTTATCAAAAGTTGGACGTATTGACAGAATTTTTTAAGTACGCTGGTGAACTTTACGACCCACTCTTGATGAATGACCATCCGAATTATGAGGAAAATAATGAGTCTGATGAGAGTAGTGTAATAATTATGAATGAGTATAACGCAGATTTATGGTGTTCATACAATAATTATTATGTTTTTATTGAAATACACGTGGTTGAATGAGTATTAGATCACAGTATTTTCTTTTAAAATATTTATATCACTCAGTGGTGATTTGACATTAATTAAAAAACGTATAACAGGGAAAGATATTTGGAGAATATAGTTTTTTGACTCACGATGCTCCTGGGCTCTATCTTCCTGTGTACAGCTGGGCGGTGGTTGATACAGCGGTCGTTGGTAATGATTCCGATATTCGGACGGTCGATCGGCGGCGGTAGGTATGCTCGACAATTAATAGTTCGTTATTACTATTATACGGCGGCGTGCATGCGTGTGCGTGTGTACGACGTTCGTAAGTGGTTTTCTGGCGGCGCGTATATATACGGGTCGGACGGCAGCTACGGCTCGTTCTCGGTGTCGATATATTTACGGGCGGCAAGTAGGTACTTTAGTTAGCGATATTTGTCCTCAACGGCGGAATGGTATTGGACGGCGGCGTATGCTCGGCGTTCTCAATATTCGGCAGAGGGAAACATCGTATAACGAACTTACAACGGACTTACAACGGATTTGCCACGGACTTGCAACAGCGATGGCGTTAGACTGCGGCAGCGGCGAGTCGATCGTACCGGCTCGTTTGACCTGGCTTTTAGACCATATCCGAGCACAGCAGATGAAAAACAAAAACGAACGTACTTACGACGGCGACGGCGTTATATTACGGCGGCGACGTTAACCTGCGGCGGCGTTATACTACGGCGGCGACGTTAAACTGCGGCGGCGGTGTTATACTACGGCGGCAGCGAGTTGATCGTACCGGCTCGTTTGACCTGGCTTTTAGACCATATCCGAGCACGGCAGATGAAAAAACGAATGGACTTACGACGGCGACGGCGTTATACTACGGCGGCGACGTTAAACTGCGGCGGCGGTGTTATACTACGGCGGCAGCGAGTTGATCGTACCGGCTCGTTTGACCTGGCTTTTAGACCATATCCGAGCACGGCAGATGAAAAAACGAACGGAACGGAAACGACGACGATATTCTTACTCAACTGTTTGACCTGGGTTTTATTCCATATCCAGTTGGTAAGAATATCGTAGTATATCGAGTGAGTGTGAGTATCAGTATGCTGTTCACGGGGCCTATTTACCGACTATCTCAGTTGCCACCGTGAGCAGTAATGATGTCTATAGGTGTTTATGTTTTAATGATTTTGACGGTATCTAACATCGCTGAGGATGTGTGTTTGAGTTGACGTTTTTTATTATTGGTGCACTTCATGTTGTTATTACAATTGGTGTCTAATAATTAATCAAAGTTTGTAATTATTGTGACGATGGTCCCGAACATAACTTTGTGCGTGGTGCATGCTATCTAGTATCAGTATTTGGCGTTCCGGGCTGGCTACCGATACTAGATAGTTGCACATTTATATACTGGTGGCGCGTCGGTAATCTGCACTGTCGTGTGTGGTTCGCGTCGGTTGTGCACTGTAGGCGCTAGTGAATATGTTATCGTCAGAAAAATGAGAGTAGGTAGTTTTGTCTCGTTACATAGTCCCCTTTTTCATTGATCAATTTTTGTTTTCTGTTAAAATTTGGAATATGATGTGGCCGAAAATTGATTAATTAAAACTTGAGTAAAAGAGACAGTATATTTTGTTTAGATTTGCGGAACTTTAGTTCCGATGTAGTATGATTTTCAAGTGGTTGGAGGAGGTTTTGCGGATTTTTCTTCTTTACGTTGCTTCCGGATGTTCCTTCTGGTCTCCTTGTATCGCTCCTTCCGCTTTTTAGTGTTGCTCATCTTATTCTGATGTTCTGTTTGTGAATTTTGTGAGGTAGGTGTTTGGTCTGATGTTTGGTTTTCCTGTGGTGGCTCTTGTTCTTCAGGTTCAGTATAGATGATAGGTGTTGCTCTAATAGTACTGGGCATATAGAATGTCGGTTCTAAAGAGTATTTGGTGAGTTTGGCGTCAGCTTCGCGGCGATACTTAGCCTGGGCCTTTAATTGCTCCTTCTGATCTACATACTCGGAAGATACTGGTTGGATGTGTTGCAGGGATATGTCGACTTGATATTGGTTATCGAGCTCGAGTGTTTCGGGCCCAAAGAGTTCCAACACCCGTTCCGACAACAACTGGTCGATGTCCATGATTTTCTCTCTGTCAGCTGTTTCTAAGGAGGGTAAGAAAATCATGGTCACAGACAGATTTAGTTATTTAATTTGGATGAGAAAAGGATTGATCACTGGTAATTCCAGGATCAGGAGGAAAGCATAAAGAGGGGTCCTCCGGGGAAACCATGGTGTGATATGGTTTGATATTGCTCATATTGCATCTGATGGCTCGTTCATACTGGTCTTCCAACATCACCGTGTTATTTCCATAGATTTCTGTGATGGTGTATGGCCCTTTGTATAACAGGAAAAACTTGTGTATTTCGTTGTTCTCGGCTGATGATAACTTGTGTTCTTTCATCAGAACTTGTTGTCCAACTTGATATTGTCTGAATTTCTTTAGTTGGTCTTTAGTCTTATTTCTTGACTCTGCTTTAGATCTCAACTTTTTTCGTACAATTTCTACAACTGGTTCGTTGTTGATGACATCGTCATAGTCTGGGAATTGTATTTTGGATGTGATGCGGACATCTGGTTCTTGTCCGTACATTATTTGGTATGGTGTATACCCCGTTGATTGGTGGTGTGAATGGTTAATCCAATATTCAATGTTTGGGATCCACTTCACCCAGTTGGTATGTTTATCATGACAATACGTTCGTAGCATTCTGCCTATCTCTCGGTTAGCACGTTCGACTGGATTGCCCTCCGGGTGATAAGTGGTTGTTCACTGCCAGGTTAGGTTAGGTATCATGGTATCAATTATTACTAATGTGGTGAATAAACTGGTACCTATCTACTAGTACTACCTACCTAGTATAATAATAATAACAAAGTACTAACTAGATTCACTTTCCTATCAGAAAAGATACTGTTGAAGAAAATCCAAGCACTTTTACTGTCCCAAAACGTGATGACAGACACAAAAAAAAAAAAAACACACATCATTATAAAATCAATGCATTCATTGCTCCGCTCAGAACCTAAAAGAACCTAACCTTGCCATAAATAAATATTGAGAGTACAAGATATAAAAACAAATAATAATTTAAATATAATTTAATTGTAAGTTCAAAAATCATTGTTTTATACATAATTCATATAATAAACAAAATATATAACTTAATGGGAAAATTCGTTGAATTATAAATTTGAATATTCGGGAATGGATTTTTCTTCAAGGGGATTTATGTATTCAAAAACTATGTACTACGATTTTATGAATTTTAAACAAAATTTAAATGAAGGCCGTAGAAAACAATATAACACAAGTTACTAAATAAAATATACATAATATTATAAAAATACAAAATGCAATTAGAATTAATTTGTTTATGTATCTGGAGGAATAATGATTATCTAATATTAATTTTTTGACTGGTATATTTTCTGTTGTAGTTGTTATAGTTTGTTTTCCACTTGTAGTTGCCATTTGGTAGAAATGACCTTGATAAATCTGAAATGTAAATAAATAATTATAACAAATAAGTTATTATAAATACGGTTGGTGTTCATAATAAACTACTTACCTTCTTATAAAATAATTTGTACTCTTTCAAACTTTTACTGCCATGTTCTGGTCTTGACCAAGAGACAAGTATTGATGAAGGTGAAACTGCTTTGGCAGACACATTGAACGGCTGTCCAGGTAAATTAATTTCTGCCTTAGTCATGACTTTCAGACGTGGCGAACTTTTGCCCATACCATATTCGTTACTTGTTATATAATGCTTATCAGGTATTAATCCATTAATAGTTATATCAGTTTCTGAAGAGTTTGTCGAATGTTCTCTGCAAGATTTAACATTTAATTGATTGATTTAAAATTTAAAAAAACGTATACAAAGTTTAACATAACATTAATGAATAATTAATTAACCTGTTAGATTCTTGCTCTTGGTTAGTCGTTAGTTGTTCCTTCACAACGTTTAAAAATGCTGATGAATGAGTATTTCCAGCAGAGTTTGATGCTAAACATTGGAATATTCCAGAATCTGCTGTCATTAACTCAGAAATTTTTAAATTGGTCCTATAAAACATGTATCCAACAGTCTATTTAATGAATATTATTTTCAGTGATATTATAACATTTATTTATTTAATCAGGGAAAATAACAATGTGGCTGTCTAAAAAATCTTTTGATGAGTAATTCATTTGTCATAATTAATCATCAACTAAGATTATTTAAACATTGTATATTTTTATAAAATATAATAAGATATATAATTACTCACCCATTAACAAATTTAAAGTAATCACTTTGCATAATTTGATCACCATTTTTGAGCCAAATAACACGCGGTGGAGGTTTACCAACTACCTCACATTCTAAGGTTATGTCTACTTTTTCAGGTACCATCGTATCTTTGGGCTTACAAATAATTAGTGGTTTAACTATAATTATAAAAAAAGAATTAATAATTATTATAATATTATAAATTATACATTTTTATAATATTTTAACTTTCCAGCACCATACTATGTCCGATAATCTTATACAAAAACTTAGCTAAATCAAACATGCCAAAAGATGGTGTTAAGATCAAGTTACCGAAAAAAAAATTTAAAACTACAGATTCAATGGGCAACATTGTGAATAATGATCCAAAAATTCCAACAACTCGGTCAGGAACCACAATAGATGCTATTTTCACACGATATCTTAATAATGTACAATCAAAAACTTATTAACTTATTTCAGCTATCATAAGCCCATTGTATCATTAGTAAAAATAAATAATAATAAAAAAAAAACAGTTCTATTAAATATAAAATTGTAAAGTGTATTTTTATTTTATTCCAATACCTCATATCAGTTGCATGACTGAAAGAAGTTTCACTTCATCCCCGCGTACTTGTTACACGCTCGACTTTTTTTTATAGCGACCTTTCCGTTCTCGATCCCTGTTTCTCTTTTTGTTTTACTTCTGTTTTTTTGTACGATGGCGAGAAAGTCTATAACACCGGCACAAAAAGAAGCTTTGGTAGAATTTATGGAAAACCACCCCGATCTAAGGAAAGGAAAGTTTTCCATAAATTTCACAACAGCTATAGCAAAAAAAATGTGGGTGGAATGCCAAACTATGTTGAACAGCATACCCGGACCGTCCAAAGAATGGCATGAATGGCGAAAAGTAATAATTGATACTTAATAATTGAAGTTTGTATTACCTATATTATAAATATTGATGAAACAAACAGAAATTCTAACATAAGATATTAAGAAAATATCTAAAATAAAAATGTTTACCCCATAATCAAATATCACTGTAGGTACATGTTTAAGAAAATATTTTAATAAAACATTATTATCACGGATAGAGAGCACACTAAGTTAGTTCAGCAGCTGATTCTGAAAGTAATTTCAATTGCCATGTGATAATACCGCTTGTGACATAGACCGTCGGGCAAACAAGCGTCTAGAGACAGAAAATGGCTGCAAGATGGCGGCCTTATGCTCTTATCAATCGTACCTCTCATCTTCACAAATATTTATCAGTATTATCACAGTATACTTTTATTGTGATATTATTTCAAGAAATTATGAAATATTATATATACAATAATACAATATTATTAATCCTCATTCCTATTTCCTCATGTACTTATGATCATGACGAATTTTTTCGTCATGCTTATGCCCTTTTTATAACATGTTTAACTAATTGTTTTTGTTCTGTAGTAATTAGAATTTCTCTTTTATTAATAAAATAGATGATATAAGCTTAAACAACATGTAGTGTATTTGGTGATTTTAGAAACTTAAACATCTACACATCTAATTAAGAACCTTGTTTAATTGGCAAGTTTGTGATGCTAAAAATATATGTCAGTGTCTGGTTTAAATAAGCATTTAAGAACAAAATATAAAGATACTTCGGAAATTAATGATGTATATTATTGTAATGACTGTAATGCCATTATTTGATTTGAAGTCCAATATAATAAAACACACAAAGACTCATTTATATGGTCAGCATAGTAGTATGTTATGTTCATATACAATCACACAAAATCATTTCCATCTATGAAAGGATTAATTATACATTAAAATATCATAACATTAATATTGAGCAAACAATGTTAAATTTTAATGCTATATCAATTTATAACATATCATCAAATAAAAAAAAAATTGTCTTAATGATAAAGTAATACGTACATTTCCCCAGCCCCCTCAAATTAATTTTTTGAAATTTTTTTTTTACCAAACATTAGTGTGCCATTAGTGTGAATTTGTGTGGCTATTTTCAGAATTTGTGCGATACTGGTTTAACCGTAAATTAAAAAAATTATATTGGGGGGGGGGGCTGGAGAAATGTTCCCCAGCCCCCCCTCATGGAAAAAATCACATTTTCAAAATTTTTCTTTTGCCAAACATTAGTGCGCCATTAGTGTGAATTTGTGCGACTACAACCAGAATTTGTGCGACACCCGTTCTACTCGGAAAATTCGTTTTCCCTTTTTTGGCATTTCCCCAGCCCCCCCTCATGGAAAAAATTACTGTTTTTCAATTTTTCGTTTGTCCCCATACATTTTTGGGCCGTCTTCCAGATAAGTCGAAATATTCAATTTTAACATTGGCTCAAAATCAAACATTTTCATATTTAGTAATCACCAATATTACTTGCATGCTTGTTTAGAAAAAAATATCACATTATTGTACTTTGGTATAATTTTAAATATGATTTTTTTCCTTTTTTTTTTTACAAATCGTTGTGGTAGGTCTTATTAAATTTAAATATGTAGATGTAGAAACTATAGACAACACAATATTATATCAATGAATCAAAATAAGGTTTCTAAAATTATGTACCTATGTAATTAATCGTTTTAATTTAATCTAAATTAATTTTGTTATTTATAATAAAATAACGATTTCATAAATACTTTCTTGATACTTAGTTTAAGTGTTTAAGTTGATTGATAAAATGTATCTAATTTTGTCAGTGAAGTAGCAGAACACTTTTTTCTAGTTGTATATTCTTTTGTTAATTAATTGATTACCTATATTTAAAATTACTAACAAGATTTTTTTTATTAAATACCTAGACCGTACTATGTTTATTGAATCCATAATGATAAATTATATAATTACCGATACAGTGAAATTAGTTGGTAACTTAACTACTTACGTGTGAGTGCAATAATTGCAGTGCATCTATGTATAACGAATAGATAGAAAATTCAACATTTCAATAAAAGATGAGTATAAATATGAAATTTATCTTAGAATGTATATTGTTGTGTTATTAAATTTGGCAACTTTGTACAAAGGTGACGTCGTTTTTTGTATTTAATACGCGCAAGATAAACCAATAAGGTTCGATTCAATTGTGATCTACCCGCCACGCTTAAACCACATGGTTGAATCACTTTTCTAAAAATTACTAATTAGATATACGCAGTACCTATGCCCTGTGGTCACTGAAAAAAGGAAATTTCGGTAGCCTGGGTACCAGGATGGTATAGTTTATATTTTATATAATATAACTATAATTTATTATTATTTTACGTCATTCGCACATCATAATTTTAGGTACTCATAGTGTATGGTACTGTAGATTGCCGAACATTTGAGGTACTGATCTGTCAACATATTTATATTTTTATTATTACACGCAGATAATCACCAAACAACTTTAGAAAACGAATTTATTATTTTGTTTGTAGGTTTATTCATCCTGGATATGTCTAATATTTTCGCAAAAATATAGGTAAATATAGTGATACATTGAAGCTGTAAGGATTGGTTTTGTGTAGGTACTTGAACTTATTAAACATAATATTAACGTAATTCTTGTATTCTCTATATTTTTCCTTTTATAATGAAAACAAATTTACAACGGGTTGTCGCACAAATTGTGGTTGTAGTCGCACAAATTCACACTAATGGCGCACTAATGTTTGGCAAAAGAAAAATTTTAAAAATGTAATTTTTTCCATGAGGAGGGGCTGGGGAAATGCCAAAAAAAGAAAAACGATTTTTCCGAGTACAACGGGTGTCGCACAAATTCTGGTTGTAGCCGCACAAATTCACACTAATGGCGCACTAATGTTTGGCAAAAGAACAATTTTGAAAATGTGATTTTTTCCATGAGGGGGGGCTGGGGAAATGCCAAAAAAAGAAAAACGATTTTTCCGAGTACAACGGGTGTCGCACAAATTCTGGTTGTAGTCGCACAAATTCACACTAATGGCGCACTAATGTTTGGCAAAAGAACAATTTTGAAAATGTGATTTTTTCCATGAGGGGGGGCTGGGGAACATTTCTCCAGCCCCCCATATAATTTTTTTAATTTACGGTTAAACCAGTATCGCACAAATTCTGAAAATAGTCACACAAATTCACACTAATGGCCCACTCATGATTGGTAAAAAAAAAATTTCAAAAATATAATTTTGGGGGGGGGGGGGGCTGGTGAAATGTACGTTAAATTAATAGATACTTTAACAACTTCTTTTTAGAAATTGTAAAATGGCAGTAAATCAGAAAATCACACAGATATCTAAGACAACGCAAAAGATTGTTATCCTATATTTTATGTATGATTTAATAATATAAATAAATAAATACAATTAATGAAAACAATTAAAATCTTATTCTTTAATCTTTGGCTATTGACATAACAAAGTTGCAGACCCCTGTTATGGAGCTATAACATTTTCCTAATAAATGTTTTATAAATAGCTGTATGCAAGTATAAAGTATAGTATTTATTTATCTAATTTATTACCAAGATTAGAGTCCTACTATGAAAAATGTATCAGTTTCATGATTCCCCAATCCTAGGACTTGGGAGTATAGATCTATCAAAGGTACGGTACAAAGGTGTATAGAAGTACAAAGGTATCTTCAATACACTTGTTCTATATTATACAAACAGAGAGTTCAGTAAATTTTATAATTATTTGACACTTGAATACTACTTTACTGCTTAAGTTATAAATACATTTTTTTATTTAAGTGAATTGTGTACATTTTGGGTTGCAATATTTAAAAGTAAGTTAAAATATATTACAGTTAAAATGTGTAAATAAGTAAAACAAAATTAAATTTTTTTACTGGGTTTTAGCAAACATGTCGAAAATACAGTTATTTGTACTGAGTGTGGAAATCAATTTAAGTTCTTAAAAAATCTAAGAGCTCATATTAAAAAAAACATCCCTTAACTAATATTGACAGTATAGCACCAACCAAAAGAATAAAAAACAAGGAATTATATGTGTTCTCCTGTAGCGAATGTGACAAATCATTTTGCGATATCAAAAATCTCAATGAACATAAAGCAATTGCCCATTCAATAGAAATAGTTAAACCTGATTTGATGTATCCCATAGAATGTCTTGAATTCGAAAATATTGAAAAATTTAATTTATGGAAAAATGAAATGGAACATAAATCCAAATAATATCATGTTACATACAAAATTGTGGATCTATTGATAATGATCATAGTAATAAAACATTTATATACTATAAATTCCATAGGAATGGAAATTATATTTCAAAAGGTACAGGTCTGAGGCATTTAAAAACACTAGGTTCGAATAAAATTAATTTATACTGCCCATCTCATATTGATGTTACTATATGTAAATGAAGTATATTACATGCAATGTAGTTGTTAAATTTAAGTGATAGGAATTCATACCATGAGTTTCATTTATACAAATTACATCATGTCCATATTTTAGCAACATATACTGTTGATAATTATTCATTACAATTGTTGAAATATACAATTAATATTAGTATTCAAACCATGTAAACACACGTGCGTGTACAATGTCGTTTTCTAATAGATACTTATGCAATAAGTGTTGAAAGTTGGGTTCAAAATTTAAAAAAAAGATGACAAATTTAGCCTTATATAAGTATAAGCAACAAGACATGTTAGATCTACAATTTTCAAACTTAAAAAAGATGATTTCTTGTTAATTGTTGTTGAAAGTGAGGCTTGACGGACTAATGATGTTAGCATTAATATAATAAGTAATAACACGACAATATGATTATGTATAAGTATAATATATAATAACGTACAACTGGACAATTAAACTGTGACAGTACACACACATCGTATACGCTCTGTACAACGACGCCTGTGCAAGTGAATATTACATACATCAAAGGCCCTATTTATATGAACAATCGAGGCCATCCCGTATCCGTATATAATATAGAAAGCGATAGTAAAGGTGTTACACAGCTATATCGTAACTGCATAAGTATCTATTAGAAAACGACATTGTACACGCACGTGTGTTTACATGGTTTGAATACTAATATTAATTGTATATCTCAACACCCACCCTCAATTAATAATTTCTTTAATTGTAGTCACTCCACATTTTGATTGGTATTTTTCAACATTTTTAGATTCTGAGCGGAGCGATGAATGTATTGGTTTTACAATGATGTGTGTTTTTATATTTTTATATTTTTATATTTTTATATTTTTGTGTCTGTCATCACGTTTTGGGACAGTAAAAGTGCTTCGATTTTCTTCAATAGTAACTTTTCTGATAGAAAAGTGAATCTAGTTGGTACTTTGGGGGGTCAAAAGTAAACATTTTCCAGTAGTTTTCACAAGCGCCGGGAAAAACAACATAAAAATTAAGGAAAAACGGGAATTTTTACGCAAAATCGATTTTCCAAAAAATCGAATTTGGTTTTTGGTGTAACGTTAAAACAAATGACCGTAGATACATAAAATTTTCACTGGTTGTTTATATTTGCATTTTCTATACACGATAACATTTTCAAAATATTTTGATTTATTTTGAACTGTTGAGGGACATTTTCATTTTTCATTTTTTTTTAGTTTTTTTTCTAGAAATATCAATAAAATTTTATTTGTTGGTTGCGAAAGCTTGAAAATTTAATAGAAGGCTCCTAATATGTTGTTTCAAAGGCAGATGAAAAATATTAAAAATCCTTAGTCCCAATTTTTTTTTATAAGCATTTTAAGTTCAAAAATTGACAAAATATGGAAAAATCACGAAAATTAGCAAATTATTTTGAGTTAAGAATTCGTAAAAAATTTTCTTTTTAAATCTAAGATTTGAAAATGTAATATAAGATTACTCATAAGTTTATCTACCTTTATCAATAAAAAAATCTCTACCGGAATGTCAAATTAAATTTTTATGAGCGTTTGAAATTCAAATTTTTACAACATTGGATGTTCACTCGATTTCTCATGTAGCGATTTCCTTATTTTGTTGTAATTCAAAAACGAATAACTGTAGATACATGAAAATTTCACTGAATGTTTATATTATCATTTCCTATACACCATACAATTTTGAAAATATTTTGACTCTTTTTGAGCTGTTTATGGACATTTACAGCTTTCAATTTTTTTTAGTTTTTTTTTCTATAAATATCAATAAAGTTTTATCTGTTGGGCCAAAAAGTGTAAAAATGTAATACAAGGCTCCTGATATATTGTTACAATATCAGTTGAAAAATATTAAAAATACATAGGCACAGTTTTTTTTTTATAAGCATTTAAAGATCAAATTTTGACAAAATTTATCAAAATCTCGAAAATTATCAATCATTGTAATTAATAAATTATAAAATGTTCAGTTTTTCTAGCTAAGGATTGCAAATTCAACACAAAGGTTCTCGTAAATAGTTCATACTGTAACCAAAAAATCTAAAAAATATATGAACACAGTTTTTTTTTACAGACATTTTAAATTCAAATTTGAACGAAATTACATATTAAAAAACCTAGAAAAACTATTTTAGTTATTTTGTTGTGATTGAATAATATTATTCGTGGGTACTTGAAACTTCTAAAGTGTACTATTATATATCTATGATAGTATCAGGGTTTGTTATTGATGTATAACGTGTTATAAGTACCTAATGGATAATGTGATATGATTAATTTGGAATTTATTATAGGTCAATTTTTTTTTTAATACCATAGATATGTATATAATTGCCTTAAACCTAGACTGACATACCGTCTTCGCTCAGAATCGTTTTTCTTATACAATGATATTGTATCATTGAATTCAAATTTAATAGCATCCATTATACAGTGACCCACTTGTAACCTACTGTACAGCAGAGCGACATCCATTTACCCACCTTTTTTATATTATATATTTTTATATTCAGTATTTCGCGGAATAAATTGTAATTGTAATATAATATAATAAACTAACTGATGTACATATGTAATAATATGTGATTAAAATCCAATAAAAGATTTTTATTTATAAATATTTACATTCAATGTATCTTATTTTTTTTAAATAATATTCTACGATAAACATTGGCAACGTCGCACCTATTTTCGTGCTCAATCGTGTTGTTTTTTGAGTTTTTTTGGGTTAATATTGCTTGATTCCAACTATGCTCAATCGGGTTGTGAAAAAGGTCAATCGTGCTCAGTCGGGTTCCAGCCGGTCAAGGGGTCTAACTATATTTTCCATTCTTCAGTTACCTACGATACCAACGTGGTCCGCAATCAATCACAGGTGGATTGCATACCTGGTGATATATGCTTCACATTATGTCCGCGATTGCCTACCTATGTGATTTGATGACTGATAGCTAGACAATCGAATACACCTATCGACTCTACACTATTTAACAATTTTAACAACGCAAGGAGATCCTGGAGATCGTATCCAACCTATCCATTTACAACGTTCGTGACGGATTGCTAGACGTTCTAACTTTTAAACATTCCCGCCCCAAAACGTCAAGCCTCATCACCAATCCATATTGTTGAAAGTGAAGCTTGACGGACTAATGATGTTAGCATTAATATAATAAGTAATAACACGACAATATGATTATGTATAAGTATAATATATAATAACGTACAACTGGACAATTAAACTGTGACAGTACACACACATCGTATACGCTCTGTACAACGACGGCTGTGCAAGTGAATATTACATACATCAAAGGCCCTATATATATGCACGACCGAGGTCATGTTACATCCGTGAAGAGAGTGAGTCTTATGCTCGTACATAACTAGTTACTATATTGTACACACGTGTCAAGGCTGACTACATGTGCTACATATTAATTGTATATTTCAACACCCTCCCTCAATTAATAATCTCTTTAATTGTAGTCACTCCTATGGCTGACCGCAACTTTTCGAATCGTTCCTTAACCAAAGGCTTGGTTAGAATGTCCGCAATCTGGTCCTCTGTTCCAATGTACTGTAGTTGGAACTGTCCTTCTTCGTATTTCTCCCGTATGAAATGATATCGTACGTCTATGTGTTTTGTCCTCTTATGAAACTCCGGATTCTTAACTAAACGAATAGCACTCTGATTATCTATAAATAATACTGGTTGTTTGTCACCTGTTTTTGATAAGCTTATCATCAACCGCGTAATCCACATGATCCCTTTTACAGCTTCACTGGCCGAAATATATTCAGCCTCGGTCGATGACAATGACACACAATGTTGTCTCTGCGATGTCCATGAAATTATGCTCGACCCGTATCTGAATAGAAATCCTGACGTTGAACGTCGTGTCTGAACGTCACCTGCGTAATCTGAATCGCTAAATATTTCTAATGACAATTGTGTATTATGATTAAAATACAAGCCATAATTAAATGTTCGTTTGACATATCGTATAATCCGTTTTACCAAGTTTCAATGAGCTTTAGTTGGTTTTGCTAAGTAACGACTAGCAAAGTTTACTGCATATGCTATATCTGGTCTCGTTACCTGTGATAAAAACAGTAAGCTACCTACTGCCTGCCTATAAGGTATTTCTTCACTTAATATCTCCGATTCTTCCTTTTGTTCAATAGTATGTGATTTGTCTATCGGAATTGAAAGTTCCTTGGCGTCCAGCATATTAAATTTATTAATTATGCTACATGCATAATTTGTCTGATGCACAAATAATGAACCATTTTTCATTAAGTTTACCTGCATACCTAGAAAATATTCTAAGTTTCCCTTTTTAATCTCAAACTCTTTCTCCAAGTTTGTTAAAAGTTTCTCTATTATCTCTTCATCATCTGCCGCGATTAAACCATTGTCAACAAATATTGCAAGAATAATTTGGCTGTTATCAGCTTTGAATACACATGCATCCGCTTCGGTACATTGTAAACCAAATGCATTCAAAAAGTTCTTAAAGCGTATATTCCAACATCTTGGACTTTGTTTTAAGCCATACAAACTTCGCTGAAGCTTACATACTTGATTTGAGCCCATCTTCGTAACCTGGTGGTTGTACCATGTATATTTCTTCCTGTAGTTCCCCGTACAGAAATGCTGTCTTGATGTCGAATTGTCGTAGTATTAATTTTTCCACAGCTGCTACTGCGAATATCGCCCTTATTGATTCGTATCTGACCACTGGCGAAAATGTTTCATGGTAATCTATACCATATTTCTGTGAACAACCCTTAATGACCAATCTGGCCTTAAATTTATCTATACTACCGTCAATTTTATATTTGGTTTTGAACATCCATGCATTTCGTAATGCAACTTTATCCTGTAGCAAATCGACTAGAGTCCAAGTCTGATTCATAGCATTATTCCATTCATTTTTGTTTGACCCAGTAATTGCCTCATCATAATTCAATGGACTGACACAGTTAGCAATAAAAGTCTGAACATTATACCTGTCCGGCTTCTTAAGTGTATTCCTGTCACGTAGAACCATAACATTTCTATCATCGACTATGTTTTCGTCCTTCTCACGCACGCCCGTTGAATTAATTTGAGTGTCTGTAAACTCTAATGTGTCTGCAATTACATTTTCATAATTATTACATTCGTCTTCGAATACGAGGGTAATTCAGAAAGTAACCTCCGGTTGATTGAAAAAAATACACCAAGTTAAGTAAAAATATTTTAATATATACATCTTAAAACTACATCTTTGCACTATTTTTCGACATAGTCTCCATCACGATTGAGGCACTTATCGTATCTCTTCACAAGCTTTGAAATTCCTTCTGCATAAAAATCACCCGCTTGTGCCTTGACCTGCCAGCCTGTGACCGCATCTTTGAGCTCTTCGTCGTCATCAAACCGCTGGGACGCGCTCAGCAGGTCAGTCGGCATCAAGCTGTAGTCGAGTGAACATCGTACCTGCGCTTGTTTAGTTTTTGTGGCAGTTTGAAATGTGTGCTGCAATAGAAAATCCCGCCAAATGTGAAGTGCGTGCTGTTTACGGTTTTTTACAGCCAAAAGATACTCTGCAGCAGCTATTCATGGTGAGCTTTGTGCCGTGTATGGACCAAAAGTTATGAGTGAAGGAGTTGTCCGTGAATGGGTACGTTTATTTAAAAGTGGACGAGAAAACGTTCATGATGAAGAGAGGAGTGGTAGACCATCCTTGGTGACTGACGAACTCGTTCAGACAGTTGATGCAAAAGTTCGTGAAAATCGACGTTTCACAATGGCGGAGTTGTCTACTGATTTTCCACAGATTTCTAAGACTCTTTTGTACGAGATAGTGACAGCAAGATTGGGTTACCGTAAGTTCTGTGCACGATGGGTGCCCAAAATTCTTACCGACCACCACAAAACTCAAAGAATGGCCTCTGCATTAGACTTTCTGTCACGTTATGCGGACGAAGGAGAACCATTGTTAAACAGAATCGTGACCGATGACGAAACCTGGATTAAGTACGTGAACCCTGAGACAAAAGAACAATCAAAGATGTGGGCACATTCAGATTCGCCTACCAAACCAAAAAAAGCCCGGCAAGATTTTTCTGCCAGAAAACTGATGGCAACGGTGTTTTGGGATGCCAAAGGGGTGTTGTTGGTTGAATTCATGGAACGTGGGACGACCATTAATCAAGACGTGTACTGTGAAACACTAAAAACATTACGACGGGCTATACAGAACAAACGCCGTGGTCTGCTGACTTCCGGTATCGTTTTTTTGCACGATAACGCCAGTTATCACTCTGCTCGCAGAACAACAGCCCTTCTTAAGTCCTTCAAGTGGGACGTTTTCAACCATCCACCTTACAGCCCAGATCTGGCGCCAAGCGATTATCACCTCTTCATGCATATGAAGAAATGGCTCGGGTCCCAGCGGTTTGATGACGACGAAGAGCTCAAAGATGCGGTCACAGGCTGGCTCAAGGCACAAGCGGGTGATTTTTATGCAGAAGGAATTTCAAAGCTTGTGAAGAGATACGATAAGTGCCTCAATCGTGATGGAGACTATGTCGAAAAATAGTGCAAAGATGTAGATGTAAGATGTATATATTAAAATATTTTTACTTAACTTGGTGTATTTTTTTCAATCAACCGGAGGTTACTTTCTGAATTACCCTCGTATAATGTCTCTGCACACGGATATTTTATTTGTTTTCGAATACCATACACGATAACCTTTCGTGCTGTTCGAATATCCAACAAATATTCCTTTTTCACTTTTTGGATCCCATTTCTGACGTTTTTTCTTTGGTATGTGTGTATATACCGCAGTACCAAAAACTCGTAAATGTTTAATATCTGGCACGACTTTATAATATAACTCGTAAGGTGGCTTACCAATCTGTGAACTCGTTCCGGTTAGATTAAGTGTATAAACCGCTGTGTTCACAGCTTCTGCCCATAATGACACGTCAAGATTTTTCGCACATATCATTGTCCTGGCAGCTTCTACGATTGTTCTGTTATCACGCTCGACTTTCCCGTTCTGTTCCGGCGTATATGCTACCGTAGTTTGGTGTCGTATGCCATATTTCCGTAGAATACCTGTAATATCCTTGTTTACAAATTCTAACCCATTATCTGTCCTTAATATTTTGACTTTAGATCCTGTTTCTGTTTTAACACTTTTTATAAATGTTTCCATTATATTTTTTACTTCATATTTATTCTTAATAAAATATACCGTTCTGTAATGTGAGTAGTCTCTAAATAGTAAAAAATATTTTGACATACCGATAGAGTCCCTCTGCATCGGTCCACATAAATCTGCATGTATTAAATCGCCGACGTTAAAATATTCGGTCTCACTTTTACTGAACGATTGACGGTGTTGTTTCCCGATTATGCAGTCGCTGCATACAAATTGATCGTCCTTGGCTGAATAATCAATATTATGTTTTGCCAAACAATTCCTCACGTATTTAATATTCTGGTGAGCTAAACGCTTATGCCATACTTCTAATCGTTTTTCTGCTGCAATGTTCGCAAAACATTCAGCTTTCGACGGTGCTTCAACTTTGATCTGTAATTCAAACAACCTACCGCATCTTGTGCCTATGCATACAGGAATCCCGTTTCTTTTGAACACACACGTTTTATTGTCTGACGTTAGTTCTAAACCTTTGTCTAACGCTGACCCGCACGAGAATAAATTAAATTTTAATCCCGGCACGTGCAATACATTTGCCAAGTAATTTTTATTCCAATTACCGTTCACGTATGATAATATATTAATATTACCTTTTCCTGTTGCATATAGATTTGTTCCGTCAACTATTGTTACCTGTTGTGTATATTTCAATGGTTCATAACTTGTAAACCATTCTAGGTTCGCGCTCATATGATCAGACGCGCCTGAGTCTAAAACCCACGTATCTGTTGTAGTTTCATTTATCCTTGACTCGCTTACAAATGCATTTAAATTTGTACCTGTAGTACCGGTTTTCCCACCCTTCATACTACTTAGAAAATTCTTACAGTTTCTTTTATAATGACCAATTTTACCACAGTAATAACATTTAACATTACTTTTATTAGTAAATTGTTTTTTACCTTTACCATAACTGCCGTTTTTTCCATCGGATCTGTTTTGAAATTTGGCTGGAAATGCACTCGATTTCTCTTGTTCACCAACTTCACCTTTGATCTGGATAACCCGTGATTCTTCAATCAACAACCGACTAGTTAAATTATTTATATTTTTATGACCTTCATCTGGAAATTCCATAACGACCAGTTTTCCGCACATAATTTTGTTATCTTCACCGTGTCTTCCATGACTGATGATTTCCTGTATACTTTCCTGTATAACAATTTATAACAAAACATTACCTATGTACACTGTTCTGCCGTTTTCCTAAATCCAGGATATCTCCGACTGGTTGTAGTTTTCTGCGTTAATACAAATATAAAAATACTTCGATCACGAATCCACTAGACTGTATGTCTTGGTTATTGACTGGGCCCATAACCTGTTGAAAGTGAAGCTTGACGGACTAATGATGTTAGTATTAATATAATAAGTAATGACACGACAATATGATTATGTATAAGTATAATATATAATAACGTACAACTGGACAATTAAACTGTGACAGTACACACACATCGTATACGCTCTGTACAACGACGCCTGTGCAAGTGAATATTACATACATCAAAGGCCCTATTTATATGAACAATCGAGGCCATCC